TTAATACTTTTGCTTTAAAGTTCCATTACGTTTTACGAAGTTACGCATTGAATGTCATGCAACTGGAAATCTATATATCCTCTCAGTGGGCCGTGAAGCATTTATACCTAGGCCTCTGACCCCACCAGACCCTTCCCTCGAAATGAAGAAGTTATTATTCTGTCACAGCGTATACTTCAGCGGATATACAAAACAACGGCCCGGGGTGCAAACGCATGAGAAGGTGGGTTTTGGTCAATGTTTATAGAAGGTTGAGAGTCAGTGCATTGCAGTTATCACCAACATGTTGTATTTCTGACTCCATTGTACTACGCTGATTTCAGATACCTTGTTGTTTTCGTCCATACAATCGTCAGAAAATAAAATGTGACAGTGGATTGAATTCTATAGCTCTTCCCTGGATACATACAGTGGCTGCAGGGCCCAGAGACACACATCAGGCCAGAGCCTTTCACCACCCGGTCTCCAGGTGGTACAATAATTCAGAGTGAATCATTTGGCAAAGGCACACACACCACCATTCACTCGAACCCGTTGCGCTCAACACCTATTTTGGGTCTAGACAGTCGCATGCTACGGGTGGCTGAAAGGTGAGAGCAGGTCCAGCGAGGTGGATTGGTGGCAGATGACCACAGAAACTGAGGTTAACATCGGAAGAGGATTGGTTGCTATGACACTGAGTGAGAGCAAACTCGGCTTTCTATTCTTTTCAAAACTTCTTTTTTGTGTGTTTTCTCCCATGTCGGAGTCTGCAGGGTTCCTCCGTCAATCTTCACCTCTTATCGACAGACTCAATGAGCCACGTTTAACTTGACAGGTTGTATGACACTTTATTTGAGCTGACAGTAATCTATTAAATTGATTGACTGTGCCACACGTTTGAGTTACGAAGGAGTATTTAGAAGTGAAGCACGAGTGGTGGAGCACTTGACTCTGTCTGTCATCTATTTATACTAATGACTCGTTCACAGTTTAAGACACGTGGGATAGATTCTGTCACTACCTGTACTGGCTAAAAAAGCCCGATGCTGCCATAACCCTAATCATAATTGCCCCTGCCCTGGCTGAATTAGAAAACAAGGCTAACTTGGAATCACCTTAAGTGGGATAAATTAATGAGGCCTTCCACATTTGGAATGCTGAGCATCAGAGGCCGCTGAGTCAGGGCTACGTCACTACAAAGCAAACGGAGAAGACGACGCGACTCTGAACCATAACACTAGACATGTGGAACTGATTTGGTTATTTGGTATGTTTATGAGAAGCCTTGCATTTGTAGCGGTACATCGTTAAAAATCATGTTTACAGCATGCATCGCACAACCTTCATGCAAGCTAACAGGCGGATAATGTTTGGCATTGAGGATGTTTGTATCTCTTGTTAGCTACGGCTGTTTTTTTTTTGAATGCATAATCATTTGCGCTTCATAGTGCTCGCTATTTACTCAGCATTTGATTTCCTTATGTTTTATTTGAGGTTTTACCACACTCATTCAAAAAACGGTTGAAATCAAATAAGGAGACATGAAGTGGTAAACTGGTTGATAATCTCAGGTTTTTAGGACTCATTTACGGCACCACCCCCCTTTCTGATACTTTATTTGCCCTTAAAGTAAAAAAAAAAGGTTACTTTCTTGATACAGTGAACGGCAAACACAGGTATGGTGGAAAAGAGAAGAACTATCGAAGCAGAAAAAAACAGAGTAATATACCATCTGACAATCTGACAGATTTTTCTTTCTGGATATTTTACAAATCACTCCCCTTTCAAACTCCTAGTTCTTGTTATTTTTAACAACTTTTTTTTGTTACCTGTTGCATATAGTATAGTATCGTTATACCTGTTAATATATTGGGAAGTCTCTAATGTCTCAGTTAATAACTATAATGATCATGAATCAAGGTTGTGCCTCTAACCTCACTGAGCTGAGGTTATTTGAGCCTCTCAGGAGACGCGCTCTCTTCCACCTGGTTGTAGAAAAGCTCTTTAAAGTTCGTAGCATAGCTAGCTAACCAGGATGCTAATAACAACCAGATCCGCCACTGTGCTTACAACTAAAGACAGACCTCGCACCACACTGCGGCATGTGTAAACGCTCCTTATGGGTACTGCAATATTTGAAGAGCTGGAGCGGCGTTCCGATGATCTTCCCGTTACTCCTTCAGGACGGACATAACCTACGTTGAAGACCTATGGTGAAAGACACGGTCCTACCCTCGTGTTGTGTTCAATGAACCTGTCCTCCTGGCCAGGAAAACAGGCACTCGCTTGTTTAATTTATTTTGCGATCTAGATTTCTTCTTCTTTTTTGAAGTAAGAAGTTGTCCGTCGTCAGTCGGACGGACGGACTGACGCCCCCCCCAAACGAAAACTCTTCGGTTCTCCACGAATTACACAAGTCACCCAAATCAGCGTTAAAAAAGCGGGAGGCGCCGAAAAGCGACTAATTTGCATCACTGTTGATAGCTATTGGTCAAGGAGAATAATTTGCATGTTCAAATTGACAAAACTCAATGAAGATGACGTGGGAAATGACTTTGTACAGCAAATATGTCCACAAAACCATTTGAAATCATTACTTTTGACCCAATATTTGGCTGTTGGTTTACCCCAGCTCAAAATCCTTTTAATCCAAGACATTAGGATAAAGCTGTTTTCCCTTAGGTTTCTCCTCTGGGTCAATATGTTAAAATCACCCACCTACAGCTGAAATCCTTGTGCTGTTATAGTCATTGAACCCTTTGCACTCAGATTTCTGTTCATGTCAGTTTTTCTTGACTTTAGACATAGATATCATTCATTTTTACCATTCAAACTGCATTCAATCCCCCCTTGTGGCAATTCATACTGCAAAGATAGCCCTCTCCCAATCATTTACAGTGTTAGTTCATGTCCGGAACATAGGGGACGTAGGGATGACCCCATAAGGAAAGGATAACAAACATGAAACTGATAAGAAACAACTCATCAAAAACACGCAACAGGACATTATTGAACCTGACAACGAATGCTATCTAAATAAGCAAGATGGCAGCAGCGATGACCCCGTTATTTTACAGCCAGTGAGCATCAGAGACCTCATAACTCAGCGGCTCTGAGGACATAGTGTGATGACTTCATTATGTTTGGCTCCCATGGTGCAGCATTCCTACCTGTTGCCCTCTGAACCCCGACATGCTGTGTGGACGGTAGGCATGTGTCTCTGGAGCAGAGGAGACGCACATATTCTGGGCTAAAACAAGCTGTAAAATGTCAACACTGTCAAGATCGTTCTGGGATAACAGTGTGAGAGGTTGTAAGATTCACAGTTACTACGGAGGGAAAATGCTTCTTCTATTCCTCGTCACTTTGCCTCCTCATCAACCCTATCTATCATTTAACTGTCAGCTTGGATTTGATCCTCCACTTATCTTTGTCTTTTAGTTGTATTTCCAGTTTCCCTCTGCTCCAGCTGTCTGTCTGCTCCACTGTTTACAATTGAAAGTTGACAAGAATGTACATTTCAATTGAGCATGCTAACAAGCTAAGAGATACGGTAGGACAAAAGCGTTCAGACTATGTGATAGATAATTACTTTTATTACAGGAAACGTTTGCACTGTTAAATGGGCTGCTTGATCATTCAGTACGACAACAAATAGACCTATCTATGTCCGGGAAATATTTGCATAGGCCTACTCATGATTGTTCATGAAGTACAGAGCTGTAGCTAGAAGCCTATTTAGCCTAGCCTAGCTTAAAGTGTATAAGCAGACAGACACAGCTAGTCTGGCTCTTTCCAAAGTTCAAACATATGCTACCAACACTTTGTCAACACGAGAGAAAACCAGTTGCAACTAGAGAATGCAATTCCTGAAGAAATTGCTAGTGGGAATGCTTTATGCTGAAAATCTGACGCTAAACTGCTATGCTGAAATGTAATGTGTAAGAAGAAAGTGAAGAATTTAGATTGAAATTATATATGAACACTGGGACCTTGAATGTGTGATGAGAGAAGAAAATAAAGTAAAAAGGCTTGGAAAAGCAGCAGAATATTGGAACTGCAAACTTTTGAACTAACTTCAATCAATCAATTAATCAATCAATTAATCAATCAATCAATCAATCAATGTTTATTTATATAGCCCAATATCACAAATGTTACATTTG